TTAACCTGTGCTAAGGGCTAAAAATTATATGCACATGACTTTATCCAAGGACTGCATATCTCAAAATCTCTTTATCGCCTGACTTTAAATCTATAATCCATTCCAAAGTATAACAAACTTAATCGACTCCACATGTTCTCACTATCACGCCTCATCTATTTGGTGTAGAAGTCCTTAAAAACCTTTCAATCTTTAACGTGCAGGGCCATGTTCCTAAATAAGGAATTAATTTTTCTATGTAACCACGTGTTTGTTGTGTTTATGTCACAGAGTTGCCAAATATGGAAGTGGTAAACAATGCCGATATTTTGACGGGGTAGCCAAATTCCCTACTTTTTGTCGAAAATTGGTTTTGGGAGCGTCAAAGCGGCGAGGGAAATTGTGGTTTTGCGAGTTTCCAACTAAAGAGAGTTTTTCCAAGAGTTTGTCATATTTTTCTGTCTCCAAACTTCCTGAGTTTTCTTTTCTACTTGCTGTTCCCAGAGACTCCTCCGGTTTAGATGCCGAATGCAAAAGGGAGTCTACTCGAAGAAGTAAGAAAAAGGCTTGACCCCTTTGCAAACCATCCAAAATGCCCGCTCCTCAGTGTATCACGTTTAGAGACTTTGTCAACAACAGTTTGTATCGAGAAAACTTCAAGTGGTTGTTGACTTCTGGCCTTGAGTCTTCAACTTGCTTTTGGTACTAGTTGGTCCAAGTGATTGTTGGGGAGAGTTGTTCTATATTTTTTTTTGAATAAATGTATTTTGTAAGTATAAAAAAATATATTTATATAAAGAATATTTATAACTTAGGTCTTCAAAATAAGTTATTCAATTTAATAAATACATGAGTATAAAAAACAATTTATCAATTAAATTTTCAAATAAGTTATTTTGTTTTGTTCTATTTATAATATGTTTTTGATTATAATATAATGAGAATTTAGCCATTCAAGTTCATACTATTTATATACTTGAATAGTGCATGAGTATAATAATTTGAGCATTTAAATCAGATATACATGTTCATAAATATTTACTAAAGTTTATTTTATTCCCATTAATTTAGTACATGAGAATAAAGAACATTTATTAATCTAAGTATTTGGGTTCATGAATATTTGCTATGGCAGTAATAAAATAATGTGTATTATATGCAAACTCAAGAATAAACTTTTTATCAAAGTTCTGTTTACGGAGTCTGGACTAAAAAGATTGAACTTTTAACAGCTTTTGCCTCGTGCTCAACGTCACGGGTTCTCGCTAGTTATCTAATAATTCCAAAATAAGCAGTCGATTAAATTATATTATATGAAAGATATGCTTCTTTATGCTCCCTAGCTTATCTATCTGCTTGATTGGTTAAATTTACCATTAATATTGGTTTAAGCTGGTGGTCTGGTCTACATGACCTAGCAGGTTTGATTCTAGTGTATAACTCCTTAGCAAACTTTTTAATCTACTGACCTGAATGATTTACAATAGGAGTTCCTTATATTACACTTAAATCTAAAAATCCACGTAACCCATCCTCCAATCGAACGCGTATTTTTTCTTCAGATCAGAGGCATAGAATTAACTTATTATGAATATAAGTAGAAACTTAATTCTTATTTGTATTACTATTTCTAACTTCGAAGTCAAAAAAATGATATAGAAATTCGATTCATAAAATCTATAAACTTTTAAGCTTTGATAATACTATTGCTGTCATAAAATAGAATTTATATATTGCTTGATCCAAATATCGTATAATTATGACTAGTCATACCAGTCAAAAAAATTCGCATATCATGTGATCTTATTGCGATAAAATTAAAAAAATTTTCGCTAAGAAAAAACATTTCGCTATTACGTTAGGGTTAGGGTATTGTTAGTAGTTTAGGTTTAGAGCTATACTTATACCAAAATTTTGCAAGGAAATTCTTTATTAGTACGCAGAGGGCAGTTTAAGAGGTAAAGTTACGGACGATTTTTAGATTGCTTTGGTTTCTTGATAACGTTATCCTGATCTCGAAATTTGATTGATTAGCGAAATTTTTTAGACTAGTATTTTAAATACTGTTTACTGTATAACTATGAAATAATGCGCAGGGTGTGATTTCAATTTTTGGCGTAAATTAAGTTTTACATTCAAAATAACGCACCTGAACTTTATTTCGCGATTGTAGGGTAAAAGATCATCTTAATTCAAAATTAGAATCGCAATCGTTAATTCTGAAAGCCCCATTGTCAGTTTATTACATAGCGAAATTTTAATCTAAAATTAAATATTATACATAGCATATTTATTACTGATGTGTCTAATGATAATCCCGCCAAACCAATTAGTCAAGCCCATAACTTTAGGTTTCTTTAACAATCTTAATTTATGAACTAATTGAACACAGGCGTTGCAAAACAACTATTTGATTAGGATTGTAAATGGTAGCTTACCATCGGTACGTACCAAGAAACGGCTTACAGCTTGGGATACTATGTTCTAATACGGCTTGGAATATTATGTTAATACGTATAATACTTCAGTTTGATCTTCAGTTTAGCAAACTATTTTGATTATCTATTTAATATATTTTATAACTCACACAATTGGTTTAGGTTTAAACTGGAGTATTCCGAATATGTTACTCCGTTTAACAACCCTATGTTACGCTCGTGTATACCTGCGACCGAAACCTTTCAGCCATTTCGGCCAAATGGCAACGTTTAAAGCAAAGTTATCAATAATTTGTAAATGTGGTAGAAATCAAGCTTCATATATGTTAAGCCAGATTCTCAGAAACTCATGCAAGGCCTTTTGGGATTTTCGGCAAGACCTTTTGGCATTTCAGCAAAATCTGAAAGTTTCGGCTGTATATTAAGTATCTCCGAACTACCAAAAGTCTTGCGTAAGTTTCTGCGGACCTGGCTTAACATATACGAAACCTGATCCTTACCATATTTACAAATTATTGATAAATTTGCTTTAAACTTTTGCCATTTGACCGAAATGGCGAAAGGTTTCGGTCACAGGTATAGCCCCGTGGTTTATTTTAAACAATGAAATTTAGCAATGTTACCGTTACTTACGAGTCAGAAACTATTTTAGAATAATCAACCGCTTATTTAGTGAGTAATACAGATACCTGAAAGGAAATAACCAATCAGTTAGTTTTTGATTATCCCGGATCTATTTGACATAAAATCCGAATACGCACGAAAGAAAAAAAAAGAAAAGGTAAATCTATTGTTTAAATTGACCTTAGCACACTAATTTGAAACGACGGAAACGAAGTTTTATGCTTGTAAGTGATGGTTTGCTTTTATAATCCTTAAAGTTAACATTATAAACCTAAATTTCTATCATCACATACTCGGGTTATTTGATTTTTTTGGAATTTGTATTACTGTTGGAATTTGTATTACTGTTACCGCACTTGCATTCATTATTATCTACGTTACACAGAAAAGTTCTTGTATTTCAAGCATAATGCTGAAATCATTTATACGTAATGTGGCTTTAGAGTATATTCTATGAAGCCATGGCGAATTCAGGGCGAACATGTGAGCTGTTTTTCACGTTAAAGCCATTTAATTCCTTTATATAATATTCATGCCGTAATGTTACTGTATATCAGTTTCTGAATATTTAGAACGATTAGAAGAATATTTAAATAAACGAGAAGGTTTAAATCAAATAAAGCGTTTTGATAATTCTCAGTTTAGCGATGACCTCAAACCTATTGGCAAAGGGGGGTCTGCAACTATTTATTGTACCACTCTTCAGGGAGAAGAAAAAAAAAAGTGCGCATTAAAAAGTTTTAATGATATAGATGATAAAATGTTCAAAAGATTTATTAAAGAGGTATCCTATTTTTCCATTCGTAATTAGATTTTTAACATCAAAAAATAATAAATGCTTATTATATTTCTTATTTAGCTTAAAATTTTCAATAAAGTCGACCATCCAAACATAATTAAATTTTATGGAATTCCAAAAAGTATAAAATTAAATTTTGAAATTAAATTTAAATTGTAAACTCTAATCTAAATCGATTTACATGAAGTTCAAATAGATAATTCACGTCGGATAAGTAACTTTTCATTAGTGTTACAATATGCCAAAGAAGGTAGTTTGCGGGATTACTTAAAAACTAAACAACAAAATGGTTTTTATAAAATTTCATGGAATGAACTCATGAAAATTGCAAAAGAAATTGCCAATGGATTAAATTATTTACATAAACAAAATATTATTCATCGTGATTTAGTAAGTTGATTTATCAAAGTTTAAATTTTTATAACCAGATTAGTGAATTATTCACTAAAATTGTTCTAGCATTCTAACAATGTTTTGATAGATGATGGTAATGCTCTGATTACTGACTTTGGGATTTCAAAGCACTCAAATGATACAAATACTACAAGCACGGATATTGTGGGAACGTTAGCATATATTGATCCACAATGCATCTGCAAAAATCAAAAGCCAAATAAGAAATCTGACATTTATAGTTTGGGTATGTTATTTTGGGAACTTACGAGTGGAACTCCGCCATTTTACGGTCTTTCTAGACAGGACGTACTACTAGTGATTTTAAATAACAGCGAGAAAGTTATTGAAAACACCCCTAAAGATTATATTAATCTGTACAAGAATTGTTGGTCTCTTAAACAGAAACAACGTCCAACACTAGATAACATTTTAAGTATACTTGGTAAATTATCAGTCGAGATAACTATTGAATTTGTTGAAAATAAAATTGTTCCATACAAGCAAATTACACGCCAAAAGCATTTAATTCCTAATACGGGCGATTATTGTAAGATCATTATTTATTATCAATACTATAAGTTTGCTATTTACTTATTTTTTTCTTTGAATAAGTAGATGAACATAGTATACTTAGCTCAGGATTTTTAAGCGAAAGTCGCGTCACTCTTAGTTCTGATTTTTCAAGTGGAAGTTACAATACTCCTATTTCAAATTCTTCGAATGGAAATTTTTCAAATGTGAGTTTAAAATAGAAAAAAACAAATAGATATTAGCATTTAGAGAATGTTAATAGAAGCCAAACAAAAGCTGGTGATACTCACTTCACCTCAGCAACTTAATAGAGCAATCATTTATTACTTGTCGGTAGTGATGGGCAATCGGCTGTTTTTCTAAAAATCCCGCGCGTGATCCGCGCGGGATTCGCGGAATTGGTTTTTTTTTTTAATTTCGGAATTTTGCGGAAATGTGCCAAAATTGTACCTCGACCTCGGAATATTTCGGAACCCGGCCAGATTTATGACACTGCCCGAATTATACAATATATCCCGCGCGGGATCACGCGCGGGATTACGCGCGGATCACGCGCTGTGCCCATCACTACTTGTCGGTAAGATGATTGTCACAGCGGTGCTTAGTAATTCCAGTCGTTATTTTTAAATGGACAACTAATTGACTTAAGAGCATTTGCATTCATATGTCATGTGATTATACTCGTTGATTCAGCCAATAGATTAGAAAATCTATTAGTTGAATCAATTCTATATACTTTTATATACGAATCATTTTAATTTGTTATAATTTGCTAAATAAAAAGGGAGTTTTTTTTATATCCCCAAATTTATTATTTATACCCCTGCAGATTTACCTTTTTAATATTGAATGAAGATATCTCAGTAATTACCAAGCCAAATTCGACAAGCTTTTTTCTTTGAATTCTATAGTTTCATAAAATTCAAATAAAAAAAGTTTATCGTATTTGGCCTGGTAGTTACTGAGATATCTTCGCTCAAAGTTTGAAAAAAAATAAAAACGTCTATCAAAACAACCTATGCAAAAATTTTTTAAACTTTGAGCGAAGATGTCTCAGCAACTATTTTTGTTTGAATTCTATGAATCTATAAAATTCAAATAAAAAAAAATTTATCGGATTTGACTTAATAGTTACTGAGTTATCTTCACTCAAAGTTTAAAAAAAAATTCAAAACGTCTATCAAAACAAGCTTTGCCAAAATTTTTTCTAAACTTTAAAGTGAAAATATCTTAGCAACATTTCGCTTGGTGGTTGCTGCATATTTTCACACAAAGAAAAATTTTGGCGCAACTTGTTTTGATAAACGTTTTGAAAATTTTTTTAAAGTTTGAGCAAGATAACTCAGTAATTATTAAGTCAAATTCGATATTTTTTTTTTTATTTGAATTCTATAGATTCATAGAATTCAAACAAAAAAAAATCATCAAATTTAACTTAATAGTTGCTGAGATATCTTTGCTCGAAGTTAAAGAAAATTTTTGCATAATTGTTTTGATAGACGCCAAATTGAACTTTTTTTTTATTTGAATTCTATGAATCTATAAAATTCAAAAAAAAATTGGTTGTCGAATTTGACCTGGTAATTACTTAGATATCTTCACTCAAGGTTTTAAAAAAGTTAAATCAGTAGGGGGTATGAATAGAAATATGCCATTTATATGACATTCGAATTTTATTCGCGTACAGTACAGTATAGCGATTTGATTGGCCGGTATAAAGGATCGGCAAAGATACGTAACACGATCAGGGCTACCTCCGATTTTAGGTGGCACCACCAATGTCATTACGTACAGTACGTAGCGTACAGTGCGTATAGTACTGTACGCGGCATATCTCTAGTATGAATAATAAATTTGGAGTATAAAAAATAATTCCCAAATAAAAATATAATTTTTATAGTAAACTTATTTAAAGATTGGTGATTTTACTGTCTGCAAATGAAAAAATTATAGATTTATGTGCAAACATCACGTAAACCTTATCTAAATTTGAATTTTGCAATTTTGATACAGTATATATAAGTATATAGAAATCCTATTGCTGCAAAGTTTTAGCTCAAAAGAGGCAATATACAGTATTAACAGACATCAAACAGAATAATATTATTATAATCGACACCCTATTGCCCTCTTTTAATAGAGACAAAATTTGGCTGAAACAGAGAGCAATAATGATGTCTATTAGTATTTCTATTGACCCTCTACTCAATTTACACAAACCATTACAATTATATTTACCAATTTATATATTTATATGTACTATATATTTCTGCAGCAAGAACTTCCCTTCGATACTAAAAGATTAGATGATACGTTAAATTTATTCAACCTTAAACTTTGGATTGAAAGCGAAGGTGATAATTTGCCTAGAGAATCGTTGATAGATATACTTGAGTCACTTAGTGTTGCTCCTAAATCTAAAATTTATGAAAAACATGATGCTGCGCGTCTCGAATTACGTCTTCGGACTTTAAAAGCAACTTTAGAAAAGGCCCATTTTCCTATTTTGGATTATGAATTTCGTGATGCACTTCTTAATAATTTGAAGACATATATTGATCTTCATTATGACAATCTTGATGACAATAGTTCAAAACCCAACTGTGAATTTTGTCCAAATTATAATATAAATTTCTTGCTAATTCATTTGCGAGATACTTTACAAAGCATCCGTGTTGCCGGAATTCAAACAAGAAAATTCTTAAATAAAGATATTACAGCAGAAATAACCATTCATGAAGGTTTTCCAATGCCACCAAGTGCATTAGAATTTATACGGAAAACAGAAGAATATGGCTTTAATTATACTACTGAATGTTACAAAAAATGGTGCGATCTCTTAACTGTTTATCACTCGTTAGACATTTCAGCTAAACAACAAAGCGACGGATTCCTTCAACATCACAAAGAAGCTTTTCTTCTTGAATTCCTTTGGAGATATGTTCTTGATCAAATATCAGACCAAGCAATGCAAATAAAAGATAATACAAAAGAAATCTTGAACAATAAAAATGAATTTTTACGCTTGTTTGATAAGAAAGAAACATTTAATTATTTATGGTTTGGCACACTAGACCTTGCTCAAGACATATGATATACAACAACGCGATCTGCTACTTTAGCAGCTTGTTATTATTTAGGACTAGAATCTTTACGAATATCTAAATGCATCTATATTAAGTATAAATCTTTGGAATTGCTTCTTTGCTTATTATTTAAGGATACCGTGATAAAAGAAGAACTTCGTAAATATTGTGATTCACAATATAAGTTTTTGATTGATGTCGTGTATCGAAAACTTCAACTGGAAAATGAACTTAAAAAGCCATATATTAAAGATTATGATGTTTCTATTTTTCAAGAGAAATCTTTAACAAGAGAAATAGTTCCAGCATTAAAAGATATTATTAAAGAAAAATTAATATGTCCCATTTCAAAACAACTTATTGGGGATTTCTCTGATTTAAAATGTGGACATACAATTAACTTTCTTGTGATTAGCAATCAAACATGCCCTTTCTGTAAAGTAGAAATTGAGTCAATATATAATTTTATGTCAAATGGAATATTAAAAGGCTTTTATGAAAAGCTAAACGATTTTAATAATGATATAATCAATGAGCAAAAATTGGGAAATATTCCTTCAAACTTTATGTTGTTAAAAATGGCAAAAGATGCTGAAGAACAAAAAAAGTATTCTGACGTTATATCATATTTGAATCAAGTGATGCGATTTTATCCAAAAAGTTATAGCTATTCAATTCAATGCTGGAAAGCAAATGCATTTTGGAAACTTGGATTAAGCGAAAATCCAGAAACTGCTATTAAACATCATATAAAGGCTCGGGATATTTTAACATCAGCGATTAAATTAAAGCCGAAAAAATCATTGGCCTATATTTATAAAAGTCAAATATATCTATATTACAGTAATAGTAATGAAGCGTTGAAAAATTTAAAGATTGCGCAGAAGTTTGAACCAAATAATACATTTGCATTTTTATACAAAATTTTGGTATCAAATGAGAAAGATGCTATATCGAAACCCAAAGAGGTACAACATGAATTTAATTGCATAGTATACAACAAGAAGTTCAATCCAATATCAATAGTTTCATTACTTACTACGAATAAACCAAGAAAAAAGATATTTGGACTAGGAAACTCATTACCTACTAAACTTTATTCATTGGATGATTCTACAATTTCAGGATATGTTTTTTTTTGCAAAATATTTCAAAATTTTAAGAAAGCTATAAGGTGTTGCACTCAAGCAATAAAACTCAATGATAGAAATGCAGTTGCATTGGGAATTAGAGGAATTTCTTATCACAAAAAAAAATTATTTTCAAACGCATTAAAGGATTTCAATCAAGTATTAGATATACTTCCTAACAATAAATTTGCATTAGGATGGCGTGGAAAAATATATTCATCTATGAAAGATTATGATAAAAGTCTCGACGATTTAAGTAAAGCAATACATTCAAATAGTGAAAGTTCTAATAACCGTGAGCTGACTTTTCATTTTGATAAAATGTTAGCTATTAAAAGAAATGATGTACTTACTGATCGAAGTGAAGCATATTTATTAAATAAACAATTTAAGGAGGCGCTTAGGGATGTAAATGAGTCGTTAAATTTTGGACCAGATAACGCGCGAGCATTAAAAATTCGTGGT